TCCTGGGAACAGACTATAGTTAGATAATTGTAAATGAATGCATCAACGAGATGGCTAAATGTAGTGAGTAAAGGGAAGTTTTCTGACAACATGCAACTTTTTATGCTGGTTGAACAATGTATGATGGCTCACATGTTTAGTATGCTTTCTGTAAGAGGACACATTCACTTCATTGTCAGGGCCAATCTTCATCAAGTTCTGAAGTTCCAGAGTCAGTGCCAAATGAATCACATTTGCATGTAACTTATATCTGACTGTAACTATATTGGCAGTGAAACACAGGTGAAATAAAGTATAATGAAAAACAAATGTGTTTGCATTTTTGAAAATGGTAGAGAATAGGACTAAAGGAAATTGGGATTGGGATAAACCCTAAAGGAAAATAATGCTTTGTGACACAATATTTATTTTCCTGTAACAACATAGAAAGGAGTAGTTCATGCCTAAGGCAGGTTTAGAATTCAGTCTCCAGATTAGCACCTTAACCAATACACCAAACTGGCTCTCCTTTTACATTCAGTCCTGACCTTTACTAATAATTGGCTTCTTCCTTTTCCCTGTTTCTCCTCTTACAAACACATTCTTTAGCTTCAGTCTCTGCTGAAATGGCCCTTTTATAAGTAGGGCACGATAATTATTGTCCTCTAGTGTTATTGCTTTCCTATCATAATGTAGAATGGAAAAGTTGGTTTTCTCACAGTTATGAAGTATGTTGTTCTAGGTTTTTTTTCCTTGTGTCACAATATATGAAGACCCAACACTGAATCTGCTAGGAAGCGTCTACTGATGTAGCGCAATTAAAATTAAAAGCTATTCAGACTATTTTCTTTCTTTTATTTGTCCATGGTTAACTCTATTCTATATGGTTCTTCAGTATTCAGAAGGATCTATTTAAAACTTATATACCAAGCTGCTCAAGTCAGAAAAATTCCCTGAGTGATCTTTGTAACAAAAGAAAAATCCTGTCCTCAGAATTTCAGTCTAGAAATATGCTCTATACATTGATTTTATGATGGGAGAAAGATCCCTAATGGCAGTGATTTACTTCCAATATCAAAATGAAGCTCTGTATGCACCCAAGAAATAGCATGATAAGCAAGTTTTTTGTCCCAAAAGCAGCTGTGTGATATATTGAGGAATCTTGGCCTTTTTGGAATCTCCTGAAAACAACTTGAGGGGAAGAAGAATCCATTCTAGAAAAAATATATTATTAGATTGAAAAAAAAGACTACCTTTAGGGACACTGCAACAATTTTTAGTGAAACAAGCAAGCATTCTTCACTAGAAAGCACGTACACAAAAAAGATATAGATACGAAAATAAAGAAATTAGATTTATATTAACAAATAGTTTGTTTCTACTTCTATTTTACATGTACAGTATATTTAGTAGCTGAAATATGTAACCATTGCTAAAATACATTCTTGCATGTATTAAAAAAGTGAAATGTGAAATTATAGAATGATTATTTTAAGCCAAGAGGTGGATCACTTAAGACTTTCACTTCATATCAGAACAATTCTTTGTTTCTTTTGCCATAAAAATGTTACGTGTATGTATGTATGTATGGTGTGTGTGTGTGTGTGTGTGTGTGTGTGTGAGAGAGAGAGAGAGAGAGAGAGAGAGAGAGAGAGAGAATAATTTTTTCCATGCTACTTGTGAATTCTGGATTCCTCTTTTAAAGCCTGCATAAATGTGCATTTACATTATATATTATAATAAAAAGGAAACTGTTCTGGAAGTTAAACAGTTGTATGGTGGCAGGAAATCTTATTTATAAGAAATAAAATTGTTTTAGTTATGTTAATGGTTGAATATATTCTTGGCCTCATTTCATTTCATTCATCTGGAAAGTTTAAATCTCATTACATTAATAGATTAAATTGGTGGCATTTATGACTGTTCTTTTCTTTGGAGTGCATATATCAATTTACCTTGAAACAGAAAGTAATCTAATTAGTTCTGTGAGGCATCTATATTGCTGCTTCAGCTGTTGCTAAATATAAAGATGATGTACAGTTAGAAGAATAATTTTTAGGTAACAGATAACAGATAATCAGAGTTGGAAGGGACCTTGTAGGTCATCTAGTCCAATCCCCCGCCCAAGCAGGAGACCCTACACCATTTCTGACAAATGGCAGTCCAGTCTCTTCTTGAAAGTCTCAAGTGATGGCGCTCCCATAACTTCCGAGGGCAAGCTGTTCCATTGGTTGATTGTTCTCACTGTCAGAAAGTTTCTCCTTATTTCCAGGTTGAATCTCTCCTTGTTCAGTTTCCATCCATTATTCCTCATCGGGCCTACAGGTGCTTTAGAAAATAGCTTGACCCCTTCCTCTCTGTGGCAGCCCCTCATGTCTCCCCTGGTCCTTCTCTTTACTAGACTAGCCAAGCCCAGTTCCTGCAACCGTTCATTGTATGTTTTAGCCTCCAGTCCCCTAATCATCCTGGTTGCTCTTCTCTGTACTTTTTCTAGAGTCTCAACATCTTTTTTATAATGTGGTGAACAAAACTGGATGCAGTACTCCAGGTGTGGTCTTACTAAGGCTTTATAGAGTGGTATTAGTACTTCCCTTGATCTTGATTGTATCCCTCTGTTAATACAACTTAGGATTGCATTAGCTTTTTTGGCTGCTGCTGCACACTGCTGGCTCATATTTAGCTGGTTGTCCACTAAGACTCCAAGATCTCTCTCACAGTTACTGCTATTGAGCCTAGTTTCACCCAGTCTATATGTGTACTTTTGGTTTTTCTTGCCTAAGTGTAGGACTTTACTTTTCTCTACACTGAATTTCATTTTGTTAGATATGGCCCAGTGTTCGAGTCTGTCAAGATCCATCTGGATCTTGAGCCTATCTTCTTGGGTGTTAGCTATTCCTACCAGCTTAGTATCATCTGCAAATTTGGTAAGTTCCCGTTCTGTTCGCTCATCTAAGTCATTAATGAAGATATTGAAGAGTACTGGGCCTTGTGGCACCCCATGGCTTACTTCCCTCCATGTAGACTTAGACCCATTAAGGAATATTTGTTGAGTACGGTTTGCCAGCCAGTTGTGAGTCCATCTAGCGGTGGTGCTATCTATTCCACTTTTTTCTAGCTTACTAAGAAGTAGGTTGTGGTCTACTTTGTCGAATGCCTTGCTGAAATCTAAATATATTATATCCACAGTATTTTGCTGGTCTACTAATTTAGTCACTGTGTTGAACAATGAAATAAGAGTGGTTTGGCATGATCTGTTCTTAACAAACCCATGCTGACTGCTAGTTATTACTTTACTTGTTTCTAGATGTTGGCAGATCTGTTTTTTTGTTATCTTTTCTAGTATCTTCCCGGGTATTGATGTTAGGCTGATTGGTCTATAGTTTCCTGGGTCTGTTTTTTCCCCCTTTTTTGAAGATGGGAACCACATCAGCTCTTTTCCAGTCCTCTGGTAGTTCTGCGGTGCTCCAGGATTTTTGAAAGATATGGTACAGTGGTTCTGAAATGACCTCCTCTAAAATTCTGGGATGTAATCCATCTGGCCCCAGTGATTTGTTCTTTATCATAGCTCTATGGTAATAATATACTTTACATTTTGGTCCCAGTAATTTTATCTATTATCACTTTTCTACACTGCCCAATTTTTCTTTAAAAAATGCTATATTTATCCTATTCACTTACCTCAACTTAGTCTTCTTATTAAAAGAATTTTGATTCCTATATAATTTTTTTTGGTTAACTGTGAACCTTTATTCTGTGATTTGGCCATTAATATTAAATATTTGATTCATGGAGGAAAGAAATTATCAAATGAAATACAGGAAGCTAGAATATAAATTAATCTACATGTCTTTTTTTGCTGACCCTTTTATTTGGAATTTTAAAATGCATTAAAGGGTATAAAGTACATATATAAGTTCTGTATTAAAGATGAATCCTGACATCAAATAACACTATTAATCTCTAGGAAGGTGGGATCAGCCTTTAAAGAGAAGGTAGGAAAACTCATTTGGGAGAAAAGTAGAAACAATCCTGTGATGTTTACTGCTGGATAAATGTATGGAAAGAATGAAATAGTAACATCTTAATTAAAAAGCATTGCCTTCTGGAATGTCCAGTCAGACTAGCAGAGTTTTGTTTTGATTCTATTCTATTCACATAATTGTAATTAATACTTTTTAGTACATGACAGAACAAATGGTTTGGTATGTATGTACGTACATACATACATACATACATACATACATACATATTGATATCCGTCACATCACAGCCACCCGCTCAGGATATCACATCACGGAACTCAGGAGGTTACACCACAAAACCTCAGGATGTTACAACACAGCCAACAGCCCAGGAGATTAGAGCACAAGACCCAGGATGTCAAAACAATAGAACTCAGAAGGTCATCACACAGCTCATTACCCAGGTCGTTATAACACAGGAGGCTGATAGACACACAGTCAATACCTCAGCCACACATGTTCTTACGAAAAAGCCAGCCAATCTGCAAACATCAACTCCCATCAACCAATCAAGAAATGACAACAAAGCCAACTTCCCCACCAGTATTTATAGAGAGATGGCAGCTCTGATCATGCTTTGCTCACACAAGCATGAAGCCGAAAGCACTAGCCTGAAGATGGCGAGTGGGACCTCGTTGAAACGTCACCAAGATACTCTCAATCTTACATAGGAAAAGACCCGAACACGCCAAGACCTGCGTATATATATATATATTTTCTTAAGTTTTCGCGGATATTTATATGTATGGTATTCAGCTTTGTTCGGGTATTTTCCCATGTCGTCATAGTTGTGCTTTTAAAGCTATAGCGACGTTTTGGCAGAATCTCATCTGCCATGATCAGGCTTGTGATGATGGCAGATGATGATCACAAGCCTGATGGTGGCAAATGAGATTCTGCCGAAATGTTGCTACAACTTTAAAAGCAGAACTATAATGACATGGGAAAATACCCGAACAAAGCTGAATACCATACACACACACACACACACACACACACACTCTCTCTCTCTCTCTCTCTCTCTCTCTGTGTATTTTAATTAATTAATTTCAGTTATATGTATACAGTACATCCTTTTACAAAGCATGAAATAATAGTTTAAAAATCTCATTTATCTAAGAACTTTTGTGGATTCTACTTATATTGGTTATCTAGTATCTTAGTATAATTAGTAGTACTGCTTTAATATACGTAATAGTGGCTGGATAGTGTAGTGATTAGAGTGTTACCTTTGATGGAGGAGACTGGTCGTGGTGGTCAAAATCACTGCTGGTACCTAACTTACCAGTAGGAGTGTTAGGTGTCAGTTTAATGTCAGGGTTCCAAGTAATAAATCCATATCAAGCAAAACTCCAAGGCAAGCAGATTCCTCAAAGAATTGCTTTATTGGAAATATCATATTGGCACAGATCTGGTGAAAACCAACTCTGAAGACTCCCACAGTTTTCATCTAATTAAAAGTAAAAAAATTTCTACTTTCTCAAAACAATCAGTCATATGGTCCAATCTCGGTACGGTATGGCAACCGAGTAGCATCACTCCGCCTTCCTCTGACTAGGTGTGAGAATGTCCTTAGTTTTCAAGAGAAAATACTTTGTTTTGGTTACAGAATCCCCCCTCCCTGTCCCTCAGCTGTAGTGTGGCAACACTGAAGCAGTCAAAATCGGCTTCGGTCAGGTCAGCTCCAGGATTGACAAGGGGCCTTTGCGCAAAGCCCCCCTAATGCTTCACCTGCGTACCTCAAAATATGATGCATGAACTAGGAAAGTCATGAGTGGGAGAGGATATGGAAAGTGAAGACGAAAGTGGTCCCTGTGGTAGTAGGATCACTCATGATTGAGACTCCTAAATTGAGAGGCTTCAGGTAGAAGACCTGAGATTGAGGAAGACACAGACCATCCATAAAGGTGGAAAGGGCATTTTTGTGTGTGTGTGTATATAGGGCGCCCTGTGGGCAGCTATGCCTCGCCACCAGCCACTCCTAACGGCCAGTCATGCGGAGCGCGGAGGACTCCCTGCCCCTGCCAAGCGCCTTTGCTGCAGACCTGGGTCAGCGGGCGGGCGGCGGGGACTTTTGGAAACTTGCAGAGCCCGAGGCTGGAGCACCAAGGGTAGCAGCAGCAGAGACACTTGCTTGGCTCTTCTCACACCCATCCAGCTGGCCGGGATTAAACCAAAATGCAGTGCGCAACATTCCCAGGTACCCCAAAAAGTTTTTTTTCCCTGTTCTTATGGGGATGGGGGAAAAGCAGGAGCGACTCGGACACTGTTGGAGACAGCGCTGGCGAGAGAGGCGCCAGCGCTGGTGGGAACCGTGGAAGCTACGGAGGCCTGAGAAGCAGCTGAAATGCTGCTGGCGGACATCCACACCGACGCCGCCTGCCTGCTGACCTGGGTCTGCAGCAAAGGCGCTTGGTGGGGGTAGGGAGCCCTCCGCACTCCGCCATGATCGGCTGTTAGGAGCGGCTGATGGTGAGGTGTAGCTGCCTGTGGGGTGCTCCTAATGGCAAGTTCCCCCTGCCTTTCCCCCCCAATTTTGCATGTTTTAAAATAGGCCTAAATTTGGGGGGAGGGGCTAGAAAACATGCTGGGTCTTCCTATTGGGGGGGGCGTATTGTTAGAGAAACACTGTGTGTGTATGTGTGTGTGTGTGTGTGTTCAGGGAGTTATGAATCAGAAAAATCTGTTATATTTTTTTCTTCTTACATACATCTAGCTTGCATGAGAAAGGATGTTGAAGTAGACAAGCCTTGCCTCTGATTAAGCATGGATCATGTTTGTGTTATTATACCTCATACAAATAAATCATCCTTTTCCAACCTGCATAGACAATTCCCCCATTTCTTCAGCTAGCCTGTCTATGATGATGATATGAAAGGGAGTGAATTACATTAGTCCAGCCTAATGACGTTACCATGAATAATTGAAATTACATCTATTCCCATTCAGTTTAAAGTACACATACCGGTCTAAACTAGTAAAAAGCATTTCTTGCATGAACCTGCCCGGTTAGCAATATATGTTTGGTCACTTGAGAGAAATGCAAACCTGATTTTGCAAACTTCTTTCCAGAATAGTTCAATTTCAATTCAATTTATTATTAGAGTCATAGACCCTGAGACCAGAACAAATAAAAACAGTCAGCAAATAGTTAGTTTCTAAACTCATACTTCCACCTTCTTCTCCAAACTCAATTTCAAGTTGTTCATGCTCATGAAAACCTTTTAAAAAAAATATTATTCAAGACTTTCCAAAAAATAGTAATATAGGTAGCCCTCAACTTACAACCATAAGTAAGCCTGGCAAAACTGGAAGTAAATGCAGGTTTTCAGAAAAAAAAGTGTAAGAACAGTCATTTGTACCAGGGTGTGCTACAACTGATGCTAAATGTGAGCCAGTTGCCAAACCGCCCAACATGATTGTGGGGAGGGATGTCATAACTTCAGTACTTGTCGTAAATAGCTTTTGGGAGGGGGGTTCCATTGTAACTTTGCACAGTCGCTAAGCAACCAGTCATGAGTCAAGATTACGTCTAGGTTGTTGTTGTTTTTTTAACTCTGCGAAGTAAAAGGAGCACGAGTTGAACCTGGTCTCTTGATTGCAAAACTAATTTTTAAGTAGCTCTGATTAGGAGGAGACTGGAAGAAAGATCTAGGGGTATCCTTAAATTTGAATCCTTTTTTTCCCTAGATATATAGAAAATATATGTTCCAGATTTACCCATGGTGGATATATCAAATTGAATAGAAAGAAAATTAGGAATCTGGACTTCTAAATTGGTTGTAATTCTGATAGAATAACCCATAATAAGTCCTAGTAACTATGTATTTGGCCTTTCTTTGTGTTCTAATTTTAGGTAGCTCCCAACAATTAAGAAAAAAAATCTTCTCTCCAGCACAACATCCTGTGATTTCAGCTGATGAAACTTTATTTCATGAATAAATAGATATTAAGATAATTAAGATAAATTTAGGATTAGGCAACCTAAAACAAATTTAACATTTATGGAAACAAATATATAAAAATATTTCTTTATAGATATTTCTGAGATTCGTATACTAATTGTTTAGTTTCCATTTGAATAAAAGATGTATTTTAAAAACACATTAACAAGCTCGTGGAGGTTTCTTACTTGATGATTTCAGTAACATCTTATGTTTATTTAAAAAAATCTGTCAGTTACTTTAATAAGCAGAACAAGCTACCCTCTAGTGGAATAATGTGCAAATGCATCTGATGTGATATGTTTCTCATTTTTAGTCCAGCTTGAAGTCAAATTTCATAACATTGCATACACAAGAGAAATTCAGTAAATAAAAGTGTGTTGTTTTTGTATATTACTAGGGAACAAAATTAAGCAATACAAGAGTAATAGTATACTATAGCAAGCTAAAGCATTTCATAACATCTCCGATAGAATCATACAATAACTATTTAATTGTTATTTTTTGTTCAGATATAGCATTCTCATTACAGTGAATCAATTGGTGCTGTATCTCCTATTAACAAATTAAATTACTTGGCTTTTCAGTCTTGTATCGTATTATCATATTGTATTGGGGGTGGGTGGGGTCTTTTGGGTCAAAATTTAAGGAACCAAATAGTACTTCTGTCTGATCAAAGATTTTTTGGCTTTGATTTCTTGATTACGATTCCTTAAATGCATGATGGAATTTCTAAAACAGTTTAGTTTAACTGGAGGAATTGAATCCCAAAGTTTCTTCCAGTCTTTGCCATATTTTCATCCAGTTTTATGCTAATGTTTTATACTTAGCCAATTAAAAATGTCAATAGCTAGTTCTTTATTACCCTTTAATGTAAATTAATATTCCATAATCTTGTTTCTTCTAGGTCTACAAATCTTACTCCTACAGTCAGTAAAGCAAAAAAATCCATAAAGATTTAAAGTATAGTCTCATACTTCTGGAGACTATTGGAAATTATTCTTTTGAACTGAAGATTTAGTTTAAATTTAAAATGAATATTTAAGAAAATATTTACAACTTTAAATATTTTAATTCATTTTTCTTATATGTACTCATTTCATGTATCCATAATTATGTATACACTTTTACTTATTATCTCGTAAACAATTGACAAATAAATAAAATAAAATAAATAAAATAAAATATGCCTTTTTATTTGTTTTATACAAATGTATAAAATTTTAAAAAGTTCATTGAGTTCAATGTCATTTATATTTTTATATTCAGAATAGTGTTTGTTTATACGGTATGCTTATACTATGAGATTGATGACAAGTGGCTTTAAAACTATTTAATGTGCACTTTTATTTTCAATCCATCTCAGTTCTTAAATATTTTTTAAAAATTAGGATTGGGGTCAATTACTATATCAAAATATTCAGTAGGGATTACTACTGGTATTTATTTCACAGTGTTTGTAAAACCCAATTGACAAATACTGTATACATTTTACAGTAACGCAATAGAACATAGTAAACACCCTGCTACATCAGAATACCAATTGAAATAAAATAGGACAAAATAGAATTATTAGTCCTTGATTTTTGATGATTTAGTGACAGTTTAAAACAATGACTACGTCTTAAGAAAATATTGGAATGTGCTGAAATGAGTAGATTGACATTTGAAATCAGAGAACAAGATGATAAACAATTTTATAAAATTTGGGATCTATTCTATCAATGGTTAGACAATAAAACATGATAATGAAATATGTAGATTTTGAGAACATAATGAATATATAAAGATGTATTTTTATTATATCTACAAAATGATTATAGGATAGATTTGAGATGATAATATGAACTATCATAAAACAAATTAAGTAAATATGGATTATCTTGTAAAACATGAATGAATAATAGTATAGTCAAATGATTGATTAACAATGATATTAATGTATTTAGGAATATTCAATTGACAATATGAGAACATATACAATGTAATTGTAATTGAAGACGACGAAGTGGAAGCACAAAACAATTTGTAAACCAACCGACACACTGTATGTATATATATGGAAAATGGCTTGATGTTTTTATGTTGTGTTTGCCTATGTTTGTCTTAAAAAACAATAAAACTTTTATTAATAAAAAATAATGACTACATCAGTTAATGACTAAAATTCCGGTTTCAATTTTGGTTGTAACCTGGGAACTACCTATACAGTAGAAAGATCAGGCTATGGTGAAATCATGTATAACTTACATTTTTAATAAATTTAGAATAATATGAAATTTTATTGTCATGCTGTTATTATAAACATTTAATTTCACTTAACATGGAATGATTTTATATTTTTTAATGTCTATAAAATGGTATGTAGTGTGTTACTTTTGTTATAAAGACTGAATTCTCAGTATAAACATTGCATGCTAATTCCTTTTCACAGATGTTTGGATATTAATTTTTATTTAAGTCAGATTAAAAATTTAATAAGTTAATAATACAATTGCAGTTTTGTTTGTCTCATAGAAATCAAGCTTTAATTTGGGAATCTAACAACAAAAACAATATCTCAATTGCTACGATCATCACAGTTTCATTGTTTTTTCATTGTCATGGTGATGTGCAACAAACAAATTTAACAAATAGTAAATAAGTAATAAGTAAGTGAATGAAAGAATGAATAAATGAATGATTTTCGCTCTCCCTGCTTGTTACAGCCTCTGACAATGTGTAAGTAGGTGGAGCTTGATCTTGTAGTACGAAGGAAAGGACTAGTGCTGATTTCTCTTACAGTGAATGGTCTTTGGTGCTGTCTGAACTTGGTTGTTTTCTTGCAGGCGTTTCATTACCAAACTAAGTAACATCATCAGTGCTAGTGACTAGTGTTCACTAGGTAATCATCAGTGCTAGTGTGAACCGAGAATCCCTCATTTCAACCCTGAGCTACAAATACTCTCCTTTATTGATTCTCTTACAATATATTCAACATGTGTTTGAAGTTCAGTTGACATTTGGTGAGCATGCATATATTTCCAGGCTTATAGCAACACAGTGTCTACTCTTATAGCTTCATGTGGTAGATATTGATGTTATCTGAGTTTGGTTGTTTTCTTGCAGACATTTTGTTACCTGAGCACTGATAAAGTTACCTAGTTTGGATTATAAAATGTCCTGAGCAGTTATGGCAATACTTTTAATAGCAATAGCATTTAAACTTATATACTTAAA